CCGGTACCCTCCACTCCTTCTTTCTCTTTGTCATTTCTCTCTCTCTGTCTCTCTCTCTCTCTCTCTCTCTCTCTCTCCCCCCCCCCCTAAGATTTTCTTTCGCAGACAACAGCTGGTGTCGTAATAAATCACCGCTCCCTCTCTATCTACTCTCCCCCTCACCTTCTCCCCCTCCCCCTCAGGAAAGTATCGATCAGTCGTGGTCAAGCGGTCAGTAATCCAAGTGTTTATTGTTGCTTTCGGCTGTTGGTGGAAGGAGTAACATTATGTATTGCTTTTCCCCCTTCGATATGATCACCCCCGTTTCTACTATCAAATGCCTTTTATTTATCTCCAGTAATAATTTTGTGAACGTCCCCCCCCCCCAAAGCTCACCAACAAAACAAGACGAGTTGAAACAAAACAAACAAACAATCCCCCCCCCCACCAAAAAAAACAACAACAACAAACAACTGAGAAGTGGGAGAAGAAGAAGGAAAACGGAAGACGTGAAGGGATAACAGACAAATAAGTAAAATCCCATAACAAACAAACTCGACACACTCCACAAAAAACAGAATCAGTTGGGAGTTGAGACCGGCCCGGGAAACAAAGGACACAAGTATTAATCTGTGTATGTACACTGTACATATTTTTTCTGTACGTCGCAAAGTACGCAGATTTCCGTACACGTCATCGTTTACTGTACACTTCTCAACCTCAGAATACCAAAGTTCTATCAGACATTTTTAGCCGTTTATTTGAGTTAGGCCCCATTAAGACTCTATGAGATCAAAAATTCGTGTTCTCTGTGATGTTTCAAAATCGTCAGTTATTCGGAGTCGTTATAAAGACATCCAAAGAACTGCATTCGGAAAAAAAGCTTGACATGATGTAAAACTCAGATTTTTTACGTCGAATTTCTCAAAACTCGATAGGCCCTAGATCTAGATCTATTCTGTGCAGATAGAACTTTATTGTAATTCTGAGGTAGCAACGTTTCCCTCATTGGTGAAGCGTGCTGACAAAATGAGTTACTTCTACGATTCGAGCCCAATGGAAATAGATACATCATGCTTATAGGTGAAGTTTTTACAATTTTTAAGTATGAAATAATAAAAGGCATGTTATAGTTACAGAATATGGCATCAATGGAAATTCTACAAATTTGATCCTCCTGTCGATTTTTGGTCAATATCTCCATTTGTGGATTGCGAGAAGTAACTCATTTTGTCAGCACGCCTTTAATTACTGGATTTTTGCCTGGAATCTTCACCTGACCAGCATGAGCTGTTGGCGTGCCCCTTTACGATTACAAATCCTGTAAGTTCTTGTAGAGGGGAAAAAAATGCTGGACAGTGGGTAAAGGTGATAGTCTGTCTGTCTGTCTGTCTGTCTGTCTGTCTGTCTGTCTGTCTGTCTGTCTACAAACACGCACGCACACACACACACACACACACACATACACACACACACACACACAAACGCACACACACACACACACACACACGCACGCACAAGGCTTGCATGTGCATTATCATTACATCATAATAATAACAATGATAATGACAAATATAATAATAACAACAATAATAATAATAATAATTAATAGGTCTAATAATAATGATAATAATATAATAATAATAATATTAATAATAATAATAATAATAATAATAATAATAATAATAATAATAATAATAATAATAATGATAATATACATCTGCATACATAACATGACATTATTCTCCTGTATGTTAATGTTTCAGGAGCCTTCCTGCTGCCCTACATCCTGATGCTGGTGGGTGTGGGTCTGCCCTTGTTCTTCATGGAGCTGGCCTTTGGTCAGTTTGCCAGCCTGGGGCCCATCACTGTGTGGAGAATCAACCCCTTGTTCAAAGGTAGCTGTCGCTGATCACACGATATTTTTTTACGCTGTTTTCTGGCTGGTTAAGGCAAATGAGTTTGCACTGTTGTAGGAGGTTGTGTTATATGTTATGTGTTTTTTCTGTCTGTCTGTCTGTCTGTCTGTCTGTCTGTCTGTCTGTCTGTCTGTCTGTCTGTCTGTCTGTCTGTCTGTCTGTCTGTCTCTCTGTATGGCTTTCTGTGAGAAAGAGGGAGAGCGAAAAAGAGAGAG